CTGAGCCGAAGTCGGACGCTTAACTGAGCCACCCCGGCGCCCCACCAAAGCGCCTTTTTATTTACAATATTTGAGTGCCCGATGGGGGATATCCAGAGTTGCATGCACGACACCAAGTATCAAACCAATCAGCTGTTCTTAATTCAGCGAACGTGGGCGCTCTTGCTTTTCCGCGGACTTTATGAATTTTGGATGTCTGAATCTGTTGTGGTTGATGGGGATGACATCATTTCGCTTTAGCTCCGGGCAAAGACTGTCTCTGAGGCTGACGTTATATGACAGGAACGACCGGAACCAATTTCATTCTGTTCTCAGTTGCTTGAAGGGGGGCATCTTGATGCAGGCTCATTCGTCCCGTTGACAGTTTGCCAGTAGCATCCACCACCTGCTCAGAAAAGCATGCCCGAGCCTGGATGAATCCCTCCTTACGTAAAAGTCACCTGAGTACACGCCACGGGAGCAGTAGAGCCCCGTAACTGTGCTCCCCTCCGTCCTCCAGGGAGGCAGGCTTCATCTCTAAGCTGCTCCTTAGCACGTGCGTCCATTGACATCACTCTGGACTCTTTGCTGTAGCAAATTAAAAAAAAATTTTTTTTAACGTTTATATAGATTTTAAGAGACGGAGAGACAGAGTGTGAGTGGGGAAGGGGCAGAGAGAGAGAGGGAGATACAGAATCCGAAACAGGTTCCAGGCTCCGAGCTGTCAGCACAGAGCCCGATGCGGGGCTCGAACCCACCAGCCGTGAGATCCTGACCTTAGCCGAAGTCAGACGCTTAACCGACTGAGCCACCCAGGCACCCCTGCTGTAGCAAATTTTACACGGCAGGTCACATCCATGGTGATTTGCTCCCGGGAAGGCCATGATGTCACTAGGATCTTGACAGAGTGGACCCAGACAAAGCGGACCTAAATAACCTTGCCCAAGTGTCTCGTAGCGAGAGCTGCAATCAGAGCATCTAGCAGATTAGCGAATTTACCCTCATATACAAGTGATTGATGTGGGCATCGCTGGATCTTGGTTGAAGATCTCCAGAGTCACCGTACAGAGCAGTACAGTCTAGGCTTAGGTCTCTGAAGTCGACCCGTGAGGCTTCCACCATCGATATACTTTCGCAGTGCAAACAGTTTTCCATTAAAATGACAACTCCAGGGAGCCCACCTGATCCCCTCGTCCCCTCCCTCCTTGGTTCTTTTCCCTCCTGCGTGCGGCGCTATGTGGGTATTACTTACCTGTTCATCCTCGGGGTCTCCTGTGAGGACCATAGCTCCCTGAGGCCAGGAGTTCTGTCTCCTGTGGCACCCAGCGTGCCCAGAACAGGCATTCCCTTCGTAGCTGTGGAAGGAATAGGAAAAAGAGAGGGTGAACTTTAGCCCAGTCACGAAAGCCTTTAAAGAGTCAAAGCCAGCCACTTAAAATGAACCTTTAAACAAAGAGCGAAAGACAGTATTTCATTCTAACAGTGCGATCAGGACTCAGCATTGAGTGTGAGTTGGTCTGTCTACATAACCATGTACTTGGGGCATAAATACAATCTTAAGGAGTAAGCAGTTTTGATCCTCGTGTTACCTCGGCTGCTTGGTAAGTTCCTTATTATTATTCACAGGATTGAAGGGAGAACCCCAGGCCCACGTAAAGGCAGAGGTACTTGGGGCAACGCTCGAATCGAACTCCTCTCTACTCTCCCATTCTTGCTGTCACGCGTAACGAAAGAATAGTTTGGGAACAAACCTCTGTCCTCTCTGAGCAGTCAGGGAACATCACAGACGAATCCGAATATTGAGGAACAGCCACTTACGACGTCAGCAGAGAGCCAAAGAGACCCGTCCTTGCGATCCCGAGATAATGGTTTACGGGACATGTTTCCACTCATAGAAACTTGACTTTTCCAAAGAGTGTGTCATTCTTCTGTTGTTGTTGTTTCTGAGAATAACACGGACGATCTGTTTCGGAGCCCATTTAATTCGTGGCTATTTTATATTCCTCAGATTACGCTCTGGGAAAAGACTGCATCATGCACGGCTACATGCTAAAACTGGGGAACCCGTTCCTGACTCAGTGGCAGCGTCGCTATTTTTACCTCTTTCCAAACAGACTTGAATGGAGAGGAGAGGGAGAGTCCCGGGTGAGTCTGAAGTGCCGTCACCAGCACGTGCTTCCAGCGTCCCGAGGGCCACATGGCTCTCGTGTCGCAGGGAATGCGCCGCGAAGCTCCGCGTCACTGTTTTAACCTGCCCACGTGAGATTTTGGTGTTCAGACTTTAGCTTTTAACCTTCGAGTCAAGGAAGGATTTTGTAACATCTGAAAATAGAACGTGAGAGGTCAAAACAGCCAGGTTTGAAGAAGGGCTAGAGAGCAGTCAGGTAGGTCAAAAAAGGGGGGGGGGGAAGAAATCTCAGACCTTGGAGTCAGACGGAGGCACTTAAATCCAGAGCTCAGAGAAGAAGGGCCAGCGCCCATGACACAGCCCAACAGTTGTGGGTCTGCCTGTACCCAGTCTCCCCTTCACGGGGCCTCCCTCGTCAGGCCCAAATGCAGCGAGCCGGGATGCTGGGCGCAGAGGTGAGGTCGCCCAGCCACACTTCCTCTGCTGTCCGTTTTGTTGGAAAATTCTAAGTGACTTCCATTCCGTAAGCAGGAAGATACCCTCGGGTCGTTTGGAGGGCTCATGTTTGTGAACAAGGTAGAAAGAACTTTCTGATCCCCACTGTCCCTTTAAGCAAGGCAGGCAGCATTTATTAAGCGCCTACTGTGTGACGAGTGGAGGGCTTGTCCGGAGCTGGCAGCCCAGGCGTAAGGGACACACACTTCTGCTCTCGGGGAGGGAGTGGCTCGGCTTCTGGGGCCAAGGAAGCAGGACGGGGGTCCCACGTATAGTCGATGTGTTGTATGTGTCCGAAAACTGCCCATCAGTTGTCCAGTGGTGAGAAGTACAGAAAAGAGTGACCTCTAATCTTGTTTGTTGGACTTTTTTAAATCCCTGTGGGTAAAGTGGCTGCTGAATTATGAGTGATTGCTGTCGAACATCACATCCCATTCAAATGCACAAGACCTTCTCACCATTACCAGTGCCAGGGGGCTGTCTTCCAAAGCTAATACATCTGGGCCATGAAGTACTAAGTCTCTGGGGGTCCTGAATTATAACTCAGGTGCTGGTATTACATAATACGTATTATGTTATATAATATTATACTATAGATATGTGTTACATGTAGTATATGTATTTCACAAATCTATAAATTCAGCACCCAAGCTATAATTCATGTATATTAGTACTACATAATCTTTCCAGATAATGAGTGGCCCTGGGCATATGATGTATTTACAGTTAACCCCTTAAACGATGGGGGGTAGGGGTCAGGGCTGTTGGCCCATCCTACAGTCAACAACCCACGTATAACTTTTGACTCCCCCCAAAGACCTAACTACTAATAGCCTGCTGTTGACCAGAAGGCTTACTGATAACATAAACAGCTGATTAACACAAAATTTGCCTGTTATGTGTCTTATATGCTGTATTCTTAAAATAGAGACAGCGAGAAGAAACAAAACGTTATTAAGAAAATCATGAGAGAAAATGCATTTACAGACCTGTCCTGTATTTCCTGGGAAAAAAAAAAAAAAAGAAAAGAAACCATATCCGCGCGGAAGTGGACCCACACGGTTCAAACCCGTGTTGTCCCAGGGTCAACTGAATTCTGCTGTCTACCGGGCAGTCTCTGTGGCGCACACTGAAGGGAAATTGTCTCACTTTTCAGGATATTTGAAAACTTTAAGAAAAAAAATCTTCCTTTTTTTAAACACACGGGATTCTTTAAGTTAGCTTGCTTTCAAGAGAGTCAATGTGTAGTGTGCTGTTTGAGAGCTGTCTAGGTGTATGTGGATGGATGGGTTCGTAGGTATAAATCAGGTTAATATGAAACGTGAGCCTCCACGATGGTGCTTTTCATTTAGGATTCCTGGAGTATTTATCCAAAAAAACATAAAACGGTCAGGTACTCATGACACAATAGCAGTCACCTTAGGCCATCCTCTTATACACCCGGCGTGACCATCTTTTAAGGTTGTCACCTGGATTTATTACATCATTTTGATATTTGCAAAAAATCATTAGCTTACAAGCCAACATTGCTAGACCTTCCCTGGGCTGCCTGTCAAAAACAGCCTCGCCCCATTTGCTCACGTAAGTTACACGGTGCTTCATTGTCTGCTGACAGCCTGGTCGGTAGACTTCAGGTGGGTGTGCGACACAGCGAGGGTACGTGTGAGTCACGGCCACTCAGAAATCAATTCTGTGTGAGAGTTATCGAGACGTTCCTTTCTTTGCCATTTCCTGCGAGATGCCGTAGTTTAAATTTTGTGCATGTTTCTTTGTAGCCATTCCCCCTCACTTCTAGAATATCCTCAAAGAAAGAAAAAGACTGATTTTTTTTTTTTTTTACTTTTTCTTCTGAGCTGATAGTTTTCCGTATTATTTATCAGTTGAATGGAAGAAGTTGGGAAATAGTGTGAAGTAATTTGTCATTTTTTTTTTTTTTTTTATGGCTAGCAAAATTTACTGACGATGGAACAGATTCTGTCTGTGGAAGAAACTCAGATTAAAGACAAGAAATGCATTTTGTTGAGGATAAAAGGAGGGAAGCAATTTGTCTTGCAATGTGAGGTGAGCTTTTTTTTTTTTTTTTTTTAAAACGTGTCCCTTAGGTGCAAGTTTGGGCAGCTATACATATGTCCAGCAAAGATGGCTGCCTGGGTATGAAACCTCTGCTTAAATCCATGCTTTATCACTTACTTAGCAGGAAAGCCCCGGGGTACCAGGAGCTCAGCAAATTAACAGTTACCATCAAAGATGTGAAAGTCAGAAAATGGCAGGAGGGGAAGACCGTGGAGTAATTGGATTGCCCTATCTGGAAACTGTCCACTGTTTACTAGGGGTCTATTTGTCATAGAGTCTCCCAGTTCTTTTTTTTTTAACTTTATTTATTTATTTTGAAAG